CACCAGGCACACTGGCACTGTGGGACAAGAGGCCTGCAGTGTTCCCCACCAGACTGCGTGATGCTGGGCTGCATCCTGAGGGCCCCCTCAAGATGAAGAAGAGTGAAAATGTGCTCGTCCCATACAGTCACCAGCTTCAGAAATTATGTTTTTCAGAGCAAGATACTAAACTTGGCAGAAGGGGAGAAGAGGGAATGATTTTCCTGGGAAAAAAAGTAGAGAGCTAAACGGATGTTCACTTGAATATGCTGAAAATAAGAGAGCAAGTGATGCTGGCTGTCAGAGCCCTTCACAGTCATTTTACTTTGGACTCAATGATCTTGAAGCTCTTTTCCAACCATAATGATTCTACAAAGAAGGCAGCAAGTTTTATCAGCTCACAGGGAGACTGGGGGAGAAGTCCAGAATATGTGGCGATAGGAACTGCATATGGCCTTGCTACTGAACCTGTTCTCTGTGCTAGTGACCCAGGGAACCGGCTGAACTAGCCTGGAACAGTAAAGGCTCTAAACTGAATTCATCATTTATACCCTGCCATGCTCTAGGCAGACATGTCTATCCCATGTCTATCCCAGCGTTTTCAGATACGGAGAGTTGCTGCATTTCCCAGTCATGGGAAGGACTCCTCAGCTGCACGGTCCAAATGTTTTGAAGTGAAACATGGTGCATTATATTAACTTGGTTCAGACAATCAGCTTTAAACATCTGAATCTCATTTCTTGATGTTAATTCCTCTTGCTCAATCTTTATTTCAGCTGTGTGGAATTCTCAGACCCTCCTGACCCCGACTTATCGTTTCCTGATGTTTTATTGCTCAGTCGCTGGGGTTTCAGGGAGGCTGATGTTTCTGAAATGTGCACACCTTTGTACTCATGGCCAGAGTGTCAGATCAAGCTTTTCACATGCTCTGTATATATCACTGCCTCCAATTGCTGTGTCCGCCGCAGGTCACCATTCTGCTGCTTATTTGCATGCCCCCTCAATACAGTCCTCCTTAAAATGTGTTTATTATTTAAGGCTTTTCAAGCTCAGCCTCTGCATACTACAAAATTTGATTTGAGCTTACGTCCGCTCTTGTCACTCATATACAGGTTCCATCTGTTCCCCTTTTTCTCTCCCTTTGCTGCTTGCCACATCCAGACCACATGCTGCTTATACATTGTACAATAGACATTTCGGCACACACACTTCTGAAAATGTGGCTCTTAGTGCTTTATTGTTCACATGTGTCTTGTTGCTTAAGGCAAGTTTTATCAGTAATGATTCTGTTGTTTACTGACACATAGAATAAAAGAGGGCACTGTTAAAATGTGACTGGAGGAGAGGAGAAGGGCCTTTGATACGCCAATTACACAGTTTCTGCCAGCTTTCTGATCGTTCCCCCATGCCACCGCTTCCCCAAATTCCGTAATTGCCTGGGGATAAAACCAGATCCTAACATCATTTCCAGCAATGTAAGGACTACTCCACTCTGTGTGAGGCAGCTCCGTGCTGGCAAGGATTTGCTGGAGCAAATCTAGATTATAAGCCATGGCTGGTGAGGAGAGATGGCACCTCCTGGCTCCGAAGGAGTCTTTCCTCCAAGGCAGCTCTAGCTTTCCCTCTAGGTCTTCTTTGCACTTGCACAATAGCATGTCTACATAATGGCTAAATTCTTCCATTTGGGAAAAAAATACCCTCTAGTAACTAGTCCTGGAACTGAGCCTAGTGCTGGAGAGAACCTTCTCCTGCAGGCATGGATCCGGCCTCCAGCAGCCACCCCAGCATGTGGACTGGAGCGCACGCCCAGGTGAGCAGTGACACTTGCACTAGCACGGGCAGATCCACTGGGAGCCATTTCAGCTCCTTTGCTCCAAGGCTGCAAGGAGACCAAAGTATCTGCAAACAGACCACAGTGAGTGCGGCTCCCAGGAGCGGTCCTGGCTCTCTGTGGAGGGGATGGCACAGAGCCCATCACACTGGATCGTTGCCACGTGGGGATTTCCCACATCAGGAAAATCCCTAGCTGCCCCAAATCTCTGGCTTCCCACTCGAGGAAGGTGAAGACCAGGCTATGGGGTTGATAACACCTGCTATGGAGCAGAGCAAAGGCTACAGAGATCCCATATGATAGGAACAGATCCAGTTTCTATCAGAGACATGTTTGGATTAAAGCACCTTCTCCTGACCTGGAGATGCTCCCCTACTCTCTCCCCAAGAAGCACGGCAAGCAGCCACGGGGCTCAGCAGGTGTCCATGCCATGCAATTGAAATGCTGCTCGCTTGGCACCCTATCTCCTGGGAACAGTGGAAGGCACACTCTGGAGACCTTGCATGAAGACATGCTGGAGAGCTGATGCTGAAAACCACCTCCAGGAGGCTAAAAAGATGCTAAGAAGATGTAACGAGCACAGAAACATAAAGTCTCTCCCATGCCCGGCTCCCACCGTCATCCATAGACTGCAGCCACAGCTTGAGGGGTCCTTGGCTCCTATCCCAAACTGCTCAGTAAGTCGGGCCAGGAAAGATAAGGTTCCCTTTCCTTCCCACCCTGAAAAGAGGTGGACAGTAAGAGCCAGCTTTTGTTTGCACTCGTCCTTTGAAGATACAAACATGTTCAAAGCACCTGCTGCATTCAGACTGCCACTGGATTCATCTGCTAAGGGGTCGCTCTGCCTTTCTCTCCAGGTCGTGAACAGTCCGTGCCCAACATAGGCAGGAACTAAAGTGTGCAAAGGCTTTAGCAATTGCTCGGGGGAAAGGCCCAGCAGTTTCTTTATGGTTTATGTACCACTCTGCACCAGTTGGAGGCCGCTGATGGGCCAGAGGCACAAAGGATATAAGAGGAGAGAATGAAGCAGACTTGGCAAACAGTCATAGATTAAAAAGGAGGCAGGTAGGTACAGAGATGGGGCAAGTGCTTTGAATGGCTATTAATGAGAACCAAAGCTTTTAAGTGACTTTTGAATATGGGAAAGAAATCAGTATCCGTGGTTTTCACTGGTGCTAAAAGCAGAAGTGGTTGCTGGAGTCTGAACAGGAATCCAAGGCTGAGCTCTCAACTTCCTCCCAACAGGACCAGCCGCTATTCACTTGATTTACAGGCTCCCTAGCAGAGAGGCCTTACTTTACAGAATCTTGCCTTTATTTCTTTGAAGCAAATTGCTTCGTGAGCAGGGCAGCTAATGAAACCCGGTTTCCTGTGGGTCTGCGCCCCTCGGTGCGTAATCCCTCCCTCCTCCTCCTCCTCCTCCTCCTCCCACCGTGGGCTCAGCCGTGGGCTCCGCTCTCCCTTCCGCACCCGCGAGCCCCGCCGGGCGCAGGCAGGTACGTGTGGGGAGCAGGGAGCCCATACGTGGTCACCCAACACACACGCTCCGTAGGCAGTTGGCCGCTGCCTACGCTGCCCTAACTTCGGTCTCTACCCCTTGCCCAGTTATCCATTTCCACGGACCGTCCAGGAAATGAGCAGCCTTGGAAACTTCTGCCTCTCCGTCACGTATGAAACGAGCTAAACGTTATTGATGGAGCTGGACAGACAGATTGATGAAAAAAAAAAATCCAATTGTATTGGCTTTGGATGTACACGTAGGACTTAAGTCCGGGTTCTGGAATTAATTTCTCTTGCTCTTTTTTTTTTTCTTTTTCCCTGGCTATTTTTAACCTGGATGGGTTCTGCGATTCGTTTCGCACACAGCATTGGAAGCGGCCGGCGGAGCGGGGCCGAGCGCGGCGGAGAGGGGAAGGGAGGGCAGGGGCTGCCTGTGTTGGTGCTGCTGCCACAAGCAGCGCTCACCGACGTGCAGCTCCGGCCCCTTCGCCTCTCACATCTGTAAAGTGGGAATGACAGCCCCATGTCGCCCCTCAGAAAAGTTGGGAGGATAAATATACTCACGTTTTAAGGTGCTCACAGGGAAAAACAATTTAAAAGAGATAGAGAGAGAAATCAAGGCATCTTGTAAAGAAATATCAGAAAAAAAATGGCCATTTTGAATAAATAACTTTTTCTACTACAGTTCAACAACTCATCCTGCCCTAATGTTAATGTGCACATCTCAAGACATCCCTCTGTGTAGGTCTCTTATGAAAAATCATTTCCCGTGGAGACCCAGTGACTGCAGAGGGTAGACATCAATTCATAGCATCGGTTTCTAGGCACCCTGTATCTGAGTTTCTACCCAAGCAATCCCGGTGCTTGCAAGGCCAGAGGTTTAATCTGAAAAAGCTTCCTGAGCCTTAATTTACAGAATGAGATCTCTAATTGCAAAGCATTTATTTTCTTCAGTTAAATATAGATGATTATAATATGTGAGATCTGTCTTTTTTCCCTGTGCTCTCTTTAACTGCGTTTGTTAGACATGAAAGGAAAAGAGGATTAAAAGGGAGAGATCATATTGTAAACAGCCCTTCAGGGTAGGTGGGAAAACAACAGTAACTCTCTGAAACAGAACACAGGGATGCCCTTAGGAAAAGGTTTTGAAAGTGTCCTGCATTTTAAAGTTAATGAGTAAACAGATCTCAAACATTACTTTAAAGACTGACAATGCCGGCCTTAACATCTCAAGCATGCACCACAACTGAGAAGAGACAGAGGGAATTTTTAATGAGCAATAAATGGACTAATATTTTTGGATGCAAAGCTAAAAGCGGGTTAGTTCTGATGGGATGTGGGTTTGCTCTGAACTTTCTGACACAGTGGCTTTACTGTACTGGGTTCATTTGCTTTACAGCATCTTCTGTGGAGGCACCACTTTTTCCTTTAAACAAGAAAAAAGGACGGTCGTAGTAAATAATCCTCCCTTGAAGGGCAGTAAATCCGCTGAGTGTTGAGCCTGTTTGCTTGGGGGTGGTGTGGGCCTGTGCGTGGTCACCTCGTTGCTCTCCTGTGATGTCTGCTTTGCACCTGACTCGTGTTGCTTGTCCATGTCTGCCCTGCTCCCCTATCTGCTTGGGAAGACATCCCCAGGCTAGCAAAGTGCCATGAACAGGGCAACAATGTCCCCTTCCAGCAAAAGCTCATGGCACAGTCATCCCACGCTTGCTGCACTTCAAATGAACAGCCTCCTGGTTGTTGTATTCCTGAATGTGAGGCATTTGGAACGAAAGCTGGTCTTGCCTGGAGCTTTTGTAGAGTTCCCATCCCAGCCTCCTGATGCTCAGGGTCCTCTGCGTGGGCTGTTCCGTGTGTTCAAAGGCTACAGCAAAACACCGCAAACAGGACTGCACCTTTGCAGTCATGGGGAAGCCCCAGAAGGTCCCCAAAGCAGGTGTCCTTCACCTTCACCCAGAGCTGGCTCAAGGCAAAGTCACATCCTAAGCCCTGCTGTTCTGCTCATGCCTGGAAACACAAACACAGATGTTTCTGTTGTAAAGAGCTCATTCACACCTTCTGCCCATACCCTCTGCTGAAGAGAGGAGTCCCAACCCCCTGCCCACCACCAGCAGCCTGGAAGGGCAGAAAGAGGAAGGCAAAAGGAGTGTATCTTGCTGGGGAAAGGGGATGGAGGGATGTGTGGGTATAAGAAGTGCAGGCTGGAACAGCCTCCTGTGCAGGAGGCTGGATGGTTAAGGGAGAGTGGCATCAAGAACAGGAGAGGCAGGGTGAAAGAAGAGGCAGAGAAGGAGAGAACCCCTATTACCAGCCAAAAGCCAAGCCTATCGAAGCGCCTCTAAACCTGGGCATGCCTTCGCCACCTAGAGCCCTTCAAAACCCCACTGATGTCCTCCAGACCCTTTACCCACACAGGATGCCCCGAACCATATCACCTACTCCTAGCTCCCCATATCCTTACCCCTCAGAAATCCACGGACCATTCACAAACCTTCTTGCTGTCCTCCATTTCTCCCAAAGCTGCTCTGATGTAGCTCCAAAACTGAGGCAGCTCTGCATGCACCAGCACAGTTTACCAGCCTAAAAAACGAAGACAGAATCAGCTCCCTATACTTTACACATACAGACACCAGGGAGTACATGCCCCCCCTTGAGAGAACATATTAATAGCACCTCCACTCCCTTATCACAGCTGTTTTCTGACTCACCCTTTTCCTAAGGGTCAGCCACCACCTTCCACTGCTTTCTCAGCTGATAAGAAATACTTCGTTGAGCTTCCGTGCTCACTCATTGTGTTCTGTCTCTTCCAGAGCAACTAAAATCCCAATCTGTCTGCTCACACCTTCAAGCTGGACCCAGCTTCTCGGAGCTAAGGATCCGCACAGCTCCTCACAGACGTCCTGCCCTTCTCTCCGTGCTTGATCTCTCACCATGCTCCATCCTACCCAAGCGTATCATCTGCCCCTCCACGGGGAGATGTCTGCCCTCCTCCGCGAATCGCTGACTCCCTGTGGCCTCTCCCTCCCCTGCCAGGGCCTCCTTCAGCACATTCCCAGGCTCTCTCCTCTCATTAGCTCTTTCTGGGTTAGTCTTCCTCAAGCTTCGCTCTGCCTAAGTGACAGGCTGCCAAACAGGCCGGCTCCTATTTACGTAACCCTTCACTTGCCTCCTCCTGGGGGTGCTGCTTTGGGCCAAAACGAATACGTGTGAGCCCTGTCAGCCACAGCACCGGGTGGATCAACTCTTCCGTGGCTTCTTTTTACCCTACAGAAGCACCAGCAAAGCTGCTATATTTGTGCTCCTCAAAAACAACAACTGTGATTAGTCCATCCTTCATACCTGTATCGGCTCTATCAAGGCCTGTGCAATTTCTGGCACCCTTCTGAGCACCTGGAGCCTGAGGGAAGCGCTGCTGAGCTGCTGTGCATTTGGTGAGCAAAGACAAGAGGCCCCGCGCGTGAGGGCAGCCATGGCCTCCAGCACAGGGCCTGGCGAGAGGCTCCAAGCTGCCTGTGACCCCCTTTGGCGAAAGGCGAGGGTTCCGCTTTCTGTTGGCTGATAAAGTGGGTATTGTGAAGAAACCAGAAATACTAGTCCTGCTCGTGAGCTCTGCTGTGCCTCGGGCAAGAATACCAAAGCAGGATTCTCCCTTCAAATAGGAGTCAAACAGCCAGATATTCCCTGCGCAGTCCCAGGTGGAAAGAAGGCCACGCTGGCTGGGAATACACGTGGCTCCAAGGGCAGAGGTGTGCGAGTGGGGACGCACAGACCCAGCAAGACAACATGAACCCGTGGGATAAAGTGTTTGCTCACAGGACAGAACCAGAGGGATTCCGGCACCTGCCTTCCCTAGGTGTAGGGTAGGTAGTCCCAGTGCCTCTCTGTATTTGGCTCACCAGGAACATCAGCACTGACAGCAGGAAATGAAACCCAAGATGGAAGAAGGGAGTGCTCCAATACCTCTCAGAAGATAAGCACTGAAGAAAAGTTCAAAGAGGACTAGAAAAAGACAAACATTCTCTTTATGGTGCTTGAGATCAGATACCACAGAGAAAAGGTAGGTCCAAAGGTAGGTCTGGGAAATGGAATCCCTGGGACTTTTCAGTGGGAAGAGGAAGCCCCTTGAGCTAAACATATGCCACCATTTCCTGTCCTAGGCCACTGCCCACAAGCTCATGGCAAGCAGCAATATCAAGTGGGAAACTAAATGGATATGAGTTTAGGAATTTTGAAGTCCAAGCAAACCCGAAATCCCCTCAGAACCCAGGCTACTTTCCTCCTTGATCCCTGCTCCTCCTGTGCTTTGGGGTAAACATGGTTTTATACTTCATTAAAAGGCACTTTGAAGAAACAAAACAGTCCTTTTACCTGCCCTGAAAAGCCACATCCTGACATTTCCTCTTGTCAGTCCTCTCACTTCATTGGAGTGCGGGCCCTAAGTCAGCTGTCCAAATGCTGGTGTCAAATTCAGGCAAAAAAAATTGGGACTTCACTGACTACTCTGGCTAGATCTTCATTGATTGCAAAAGGCAAACTCCTCTCCAGGACTCACTAATACTTTCCAAAACCCTGTGGATGCACAAAACGAGGTCTGTAACACAATAAAGAAAAAAACAGGAATGCTCAAGACCTCATGAGTATCCCATGTCCTGCCATAGCATGGACTGTGTAGCAGATATTTTAGAAGAAACAAATCTCTCTGTTGCAGTTAGACCCCTAACTCCATTGCTATCCAAAACTGGTGAGTGTTTTTTCCTTGGACAGTGCCCAATCTGAAGAATTAGTGTTTTCCACACAAAAACGCCTAGTTGGTAAATTTCCAAGAATTTCTATTTTTGATCCAATGAAGAATGGCAGCTTTCCATGGAATTTACTTTTCTTTTTCTTTTTTTTTTCTTTTCTCCAAAGTAAGATTGCTTAAAAATCCATAAATCTTCATTTGGAAACTCTACCAGGAGTCTGCATGGATGCGAGAGTTCAATTGTCCCATTCTGCAGGAGTCTGGATGTTTTTTTTCTAATAGTCCTTTCCGATTTGAAAAGTACACCTAGTTTTTACATCTTTTACCTTTTCATTAAACTGTTTTTTCCCTCTCTTCAAGAAAGCAAAGCGGAGGTTCCACCACAGAATTCTGAAAATGCTTGTGGTTTTTAACATCATGTTCTGGCTCATGAGGCTGTATGATCACTTGTGACCTTAGAGGATTAGGAGTGCAGACCCAGCTGTGAAGAAGCCGTGGAAAGTCACTCCACTCCATATTCAGGCTAAAGCTTTGCTGAGTGGTGCTCAGCTCAGCCCTAGGGAGGCACACAGATCTCACAGGAAGCCTCTGATAATCTTCTGTACCCAGGATCTCACATTGCTGTACACAAGTTGTTCCATAGTCTGCAGACCATGTGCTAAATAGTCCAAATTTGCAAAATCATGGCTTCTCCTTATCAGCTTTCATTCTCATACATTTCTGTCTTCACTTTCTATTTTTTTTTTGTCCCATCTTGTGTCTCCAGAGTCCTCCTTGAGGAGGAACTTGCTTCTTGTGAGTCTTAATGCTCCTCACTTGCTCGCTGAATCACTCTGGCATGCAGCCAGGACTGCAATGAGGGCCAGGCACATGCAGGGCAGCTGAAAAGTACCTCAGCTTTGGGAAATCCTGCTGGGCTGTAAAAGCTGCCCGCAAACCCAAATCATATCAAGCAAGGCCTGTCTGATAATTCTTTGGCATAAACCCCAAACTTGCTGAACTGCTTTTCCATACAAAGTATTTCCAGGTGGGTTATTAGGTCCTTATCCCTTCCATCTTGTAGCCTCCTGTGGTTGAAAATGGCATTCTTTAGTGTGAGCTATTTTTTAGGGGAAACAATATATTCCTTTGCATTTCTGGTTCCTCTAAACCAAAGGATACTTTGCAACACCCAAATTCTCCCTTCCACAACACACAGTGGTAAAGATGTCATCTCCCCACAACATCTGTGCCCATATTGGACTATCTAGAGCTAACCTATTCTTATACAGGCTCCTGATAACTGGTATGACCACCGGGATGAGCAATAATGGAGCTGTGCACTGTTAAAACAGCTGTGCGCTGTTAAAACTACTTTCCCTTCCTGCACTTTTACAGAAGCCACATTTGAGTCTCTGCTGCTTTAATTACAAAGGAATAGTTAAAATGAAAGAGCTGAGCCAAGTCTGTAGAGGGGCCGTCTGTGGGCAGTGCCCTGTGGGTTGGGGCCGAGGAGGCAGCCACAGGACCTGTGGAGCACATCAAGCTCTGTGTCCACGCTGTTGTGGTGCCTCGCCGGCTGGTGTGTTCCCGTGTGTGCCCATGGGATGCAGGAAAGGTGGCATGCACGTGAGCACCGTGGTGTGACATGCAGTGTGTCGGTGTGACACGCAGCAAAGCTTTGCCTTATCCTGGTCGCTGAGAGGCCATCACATCAAGGACAGGGGTGGTCGGGCAGTTGGATGGACTTGCGTTGTTTTCACCCCACTACCCTATCGCTACTGCTCAGTGTGTCTAATACAGACTGGTTTATGAGAAGTAGAGCCCAGGTGTAAGACTTGCAGCTCTGTGACCTGCCATTACACGAGAGGAGCGGGTAAAGAAGCAGTGGGTTTTTGACAGTTTCCCAACCAACAAGCTGATTTGTTTGCTGATGGGAGTCCCTGGGGTCTTCACCACAATAGAAAATGAAGTGAGGTGGAGACAGGCTGGTACAAAACCCAACGTGTTGCTGTCAGTTAAAACAAAATGCTTCGCTCTGGGAAACTTCCAGACCACAGCATTTTGAAAGGACACGTGTCATTGAAAAAAATACCTGGGCCAATAAAATCTGTCCGGGGAGTGATCGCTTTGCTCTTGAAGCCGCCTCACTGGGAAGACCTTCCCAGCGGGGAGGCCCAGGGGTGTCGCGGCAGCCCCAGGAGCCTCTTCCACAGCAGGGCCGCCGCTGGCTGTGCCGTCTCCGCGGCCCATCCTCCCGCGGCCCGGCACGAGGGGGAGCGGGGCCGCGCAGGCGCCGCCGCCGCCGTGACGCACGCTGCCCGGCGCACCCCTCGGCTCCGCTGCCCTCCCGGTGCCTTCCCCACTCCTCCTAACTCCAGCGTTTCCCTCCCGCGGCCGGCCTGGGTGTTTAGCTGGGCTGGGCGCTGCACCAGCGCCCTTAGCGCGCCCCACGCAGCTGATGGGACCCGCGGGGAGGATGATGGTGAGAGCCAGGCCGGGCTGCGGCCCCACGGAGCGCCTGCGAAGCCCTGTGAGCGCCGGCGCGGGCTGCAGGGAAGCGAAAGCAGGGCAAGGGCCCTTGCAAAGGCTGCTGAGAGCATTAACAAGCCGCACCCACGCTTCACTCCCCTTTCCGCCTTAGAAAACAAACAAAACGGAAAAAAACATCAACATTTGCCACTGTGTGTTGCTCTTATGGCCATGTGACCCAGGCATGTGACTTTGTTGTTGATTTTTTTTTTTTTTTTTTAATAGGATCAAATGCGTCGCTGCTGCCGTAAAAGCCGTGCAAGTTGTCAGCAGTTCTCTACGCTGGCAAGTTACACAAGGCGCAGAGCTGCGCTCTGCCCGGGGCTGTGTCCTACCTCCCCCTGCACGGAGGCTCCTCCCCGGCCTTCCTCAGCGGCGCATGGATTTCAGGGAAGTGGGCAGGATCCTTCTCAGCTGCGCTGTGGGATGTGGTGAGGCGCAGCAGTGAGGCAGCAGTTTCCTCCAGCCTTTCCTCCCTTTGGAAGCGTTGCGCATGTAAAAGGGAAGCTTGAGCCTTCCC